AGAACAGGGGGCAACAAAACAGATCCCAGATATATAGATATATATATATATATACATATATATCATATCTATATATATATATATATATATATCGTGGGCGGCCTTGTACGCAAGAGGTTCTGAACAGGGGGAGTTGTAAGGAAGAAGATTTTTAAAAGATGAATTAAGTTTTTCTTGTTTTCCTTGTTTTCTTTCGTTTTTTTTTTTTTTTTTTTTTTTTTTTGTTTTTTTTTTTTTTCCCCTTCTTCTTTCTTCCCCCTTCTCCCCTTCCTCCTCCTCTGTCCCCTCCCGTTCTCATCTTTCCTCTTTCTCCTCCCTCCTCTCCTCTTCTCCCTTTTCTCTCCTTTCTTCGCTTCGGCTCACTGATATCATGTGAAAATATATCGTCACGTGAATATCAGAGCGCAAAAGCGAAAAAAAAGAAAAAAGAAAAAAGAAAAAAAATGAATTCGTTATATATATCGTCAAACAGATATCGCATATGAGATTTGAGGGTGCGTTGTATTCGAGGGGACAAGGGGGTAGTGGGTGCGTACGAAAGACTTCTTCGGGGAAAACCGAGTCCGCGTAGATTAGCATCACCGCGGTTGCAGTCCATTTACAACGACCCCTCTTACTATTCGAAGAACACGGCAGAGGAAGACGAAGAAGGGGACAAAAGTGGTGGTGATGTTAATCTAGACCTTCCTGATCGAGTCGGCTTGAGGCGGTTAGCAGGAGGACAGCCATCGCAAGAGGAGGAGGAGGGGGTGGTAGGGAGAGAGACTTGCACGACATCGCTGGGGGTGACGAACAGGTTTAGGCCACGTGGCAATCCGCCGGGACAGAAGGCCAAGCTGATGGGTGGCCAGTAGTTTGAGTGAAGGAGAGCGATATCGTGCCCCTTGCCTCTCTGAAGAGCTCGATTGCCGTTGTGCGTAAGTCGGCCTCCCGCACAGAACCGAGCATCAACGAGCGTGTGCAAAGCGACGGCGCCGCCATAGCCAGAAGCAGCGAGGTTCATTGTGAACGACGACCTAGAGAAGAAGACCTTGCGCGGGAAGGAGTCAAAGCCGTAGACGAAGACGGCGCCGCCGTTGTCGTTGGCCTCGTTGGAGTCGAAGGTCACGCGATCGAGGCGCGTGTCATCACCCCTGGCCACGAGGAACAGCGCGCCGCCGCTCCCGCTCGGCGCGCTGTTGCGGCGGAAGAGCGATCGCACGACTCTCCCCGCGCCCGCCGACGCGCTGAAGATCGCTCCGCCGCCCAATCCGCTCGCCACGTTGCCTTCAAACACGCACCCATTCACTTCCCACTGCGCGCTCGATCCCGATCCCGATCCCGACCCAACGCCAACGGTGATCGCGGCACCAACCCGTTTCGTATTGTTGCGCAGGATGCACCTGGTCACGCGCAGCTGGCACGTGCCGCTCACTATGCCCCCCACCGCGTTCTGCAAGACCAGGTTCTCGATGGTCATCGCGCAAGCGGCGGCGGAAGTCGACGTCGCGTTAGCGCCGACGACGATCGGGAACTTGCCCGCGCCGTCGATGACACACTTTCTTCCAACACTTTCAGGAGCAGCACCTACCCCCTCCTCCTCCTCCTCCTCCCTTCTCCTCCCCCTGCCCTCACTCCTCCTCCCTTCCCCTCCCCTCGTCGACTTGCCGCCGCCGCCGCCGCCGCTCTTGCGCCGCCTCCTGCACGACCCCTTGATGACGACCCTCCCCTTGAGAACAGGCAGAGCCTTCGTCAGAACGATATTTTCGTTGACCACAACGACGACAAGATCCGCCGACGAGCCCGCGGAGGATATGGCCGCCGCCAGCCTGTCTTCCGCCGATGATCGCCCCAGGGGGGCAGCCATGACCTGCCCGCCATATCCGTTGCCGTCAACAGCCTCCGCCTGCGCGCCATACCCGCCGAGGGCCAGCGCAAACACTACGGCAGCACCGAGAAACACAAACGCCGAGCATCCATTCGGGGACAGATCGAATCCGCTCCTTCTTCTGCTTGTTCTTCTTCCTCCTCTTCTTCGTCTTCTTCTTGTTCTTGAGCTTGACCACAATCTTCCTCCCTCTCCTGCGATAGCCATACTCTCGTCTAGATCCCGATCGCACTTCTTGCGGGATACAAACAAGTTCAAAAAAAAAAAAAAAAAAAAAAAAGGACGGAGCTCGAAATTCAAACCCCGCCGCCCTTCTCTTGTCCGGGTAATACTGTAAGTCTCGTCGGGGTCCCGATCGCACTTCTTCTGGTCAGGCAGGTCTTACTACCTACTAGCAGTAGAGTGGTTGGCACGAACGACCCGTTCCCACTGAAGATGGAACTCACGACATTCAAGATGTCTTTCACGTCGGCACTCTTTGCCGTCGACATTCAAGATGCGTTTCACGTCCCCCTACCGCTCTGTTTTCGCTTCCCCATCCGCCCTCCCTCTTGCCCAAACCGTTCCGATGAAGCACACGGGAGAAGAGCTCTCTCTCTCTCTCTCTCTCTCTCTCTCTCTCTCTCACACACACACACACACACATCTCCTGATCAGTCGGTGAATGCCCGATGAAACAGTCTGCCACGGTCGTACTTTTATTTCTTTGGAATTTGGAATTGTGAATAGCGAACACGACTGTGGCAATGGATGGAGGTCATGGAGACCTTCCTCCGCAGCGGTCGGGACTCGGGATCCCCACACACACACACACACACACACACACAC